TATATATATATATATATATATTCTCCTAACTAACAATAATATAAAATTACAACCTGATCTGGAGAGAAATAAGATAAAATAAGCAAGAGGAAAAATAAGTGAAGGGTACAAATTTTGACAACTAGGAATAAAGGGAGAAGAAGAAATGGCAGATCTAAGGTAAGATCTGAATCTAAGGATGCCTGTCAGTGCTTAAGAGGCGTTTGGACAACACCCTAACAACATGCTTTAAGTTTTGGTCAGCCCTGAAGTGCTCAGACACTTGGACTAGATGAACATTGTAGGTCCCTTCCAGCTGAACTATTTCATAAATGTATTCAGACACCTCCAGGAAAATATGCCTGTCTTAAAAGACTTAGTTTTAGATAAATATCATTCTTTCTGCAGTCATGTTGCCGATCCAATTTTTCAGTAGTTTGCTGCTTTTCAAATGTCAACTTCTTTAATACTTTAGCAAGCAGGGATTAGTGTGCTGAGCCATTAAGTGTCTTTCCTTTTGTTTTGTTCCACTTTCGTATCCCATGAAAATAAAATTAAAAAAAAAAAAGCACAGCTAGTTAAATTTATTTGATCAAGAAAATAATGAAATGAAGTTTCTCCAGGGAGGTAGGTAATCAGGAGGCAAGATGGGGTGACTGGGGACATGGATGAAGAACGTCGTTTGGACAACCTGGAGTTCTAGAAATCTGCCGCTCTGAGAGGGAGGGGGATTATGGTTGGTGTGTATGAGCACGCAAAAATGCTACACCACCCTGCCAGTGGTTGCCTGGGTTTGAATGACAACTGTGGGGCAGACAACGACTGTAGGTAGCAGGAACAGAAACAGAGGACCTTGGCAGAGAAATGGAGGTGTCTGTGGAATGCAGATGAGAGGAGCAGTCCAGAGGAGGCCACGAAGATGATCAGAGCACCTCGCCTATGGAGACAGGCTGAGAGAGGACAGAGTTGGGCTTGTTCAGCCTGGAGAAGAGAAGGCTCCGGGAAGACCTTAGCACCTTCCAGTACCTGAAGGGGCTACAAGGAAGCTGGGAGGGGACTTTTTACAAGGGCCTGTAGTGACAGGAAAAGGGGGAATGGGTTTAAATTGAAAGTGGGGAGGTTTAGATTGGATATCAGGAAGAAGTTCTTCACAGAGAGGGTGGTGAAGGACTGGAACAGGTTGCCCAGAGAAGCTGTGGATGCCCCATCCCTGGAAGTGGTCAAGGCCAGGCTGGATGAGGCTTTGAGCAACCTGGTCTAGTGGAAGGTGTCCCTGCCCATGGCAGGGGGGTTGGAACTAGATGATCTTTAAGGTTCCTTCCAACCCAAACCATTCTATGATTCTTAGCGCTTGGTTCAGACATGTGAACACAGACCAGAGAATGGTTTGGGTTGGAAGGGACCTTTAAGGGTGATCTAGTCCAACCTCCCTGCAATGGACAAGGACATCTTCAACCAGGTCAGGTTGCTCAGAGCCATGTCTAACCCAACTTAGAATATTTCCAGGCATGGGGCATCTACAAGCTCTGTGAGCAACCTGTTCCAGCTATCCTCTGAGCTTCCTTAAAGCATGAGTCATCTGCATGGTCATATGGGGCAGACGCAACATAGGAACTGTGAGACAACTCACCATCTTCCAGACTGGCAGTTAGAGGCAAGGAAAGATACGCTACGCACCTCAAATGCGCTCATTAGAGGACTAGGTATTGCTGACTTCCACAAAAATTGTGTTTTTTCTTTATGTAGTCATAGTAAGATTGTGTTACAGAGGCAATCAACTCTTCTCCCATGGCTGTATAACCCTAAGACTTTATATCAGTGTGTTGCCAGTTAGGGGTCATTTCCTAACGAACGGAGATCCACTACTATGTGTTGTATAAAAGCTTACAGGTATCACAGAGTGTTTCTGAGCTTGTATGAACACCTCAAAACCAAGTATGTCAGTGCTAAGGTAAAATGAAAGGCAGAATGTAGATAGATACAAGAATTCAAACCAAACAGGATCAGTAAAATCTAACTATTACAGTAAATTTTCTCTCCCACCTGGACAATGTCTCTTTCTGCAAACTTTCCTCTTGAAGAAATCCTTACTACGTCACCATCCAGTTCTTCCATAGCTTAAAAAAAAACAAACCAAAAACAACCAACAAAATTAATTAATCTGTGAGTTCAGCTACACAATAAAAGCAATCTTACTGAGAAAAACTTTACTCAGTTTACACTTTAGAGCAACAAAACCAACAATTGTTACTTAGGTAACTCTTTAAGATCATTTGCTCCAGAAAATACATCCTGCTTTGTAGTCATTTTGCACTTTTTCATGCTGACAATACATAATTTTTCCTTCATTGTCATCTTCAGAACAAAACTGACCGTGGAAAGATCCTTATCTTTCCAGCTCTCAAACCAGCAAATATATCTGCTTTGGTAAGGCTGTATTTATGCTTTCACAGGTGGAGAAGAAATCATATTCAGCAATTATTCTTACAGAAGACATCATGGGATAACAGCACAAAGCGGTAGTAACTCACATTCACACTGGAAAAGTAATGACTGTTAATGCATAGGAATGAGGATTTCTTAACAAAATGTGTCAAATTTACTGGGTAACTCTTGTTTTATCTTTCTGAACAGGATCCAGGAAAACTAAGATTGTCCAGATAACCAGAAGTCATTCTAGGTAGAAAAGGATACCTGCTTTCTGGTCAGTGTTGAAATGGATGGATATGGGATCACAGATTATTGCTCAGCCACTGGATTTGCAATCCTTCTTTCAGCATACCCTATGAAAATTGAAGCCCTACATTACTGAGCTTCTCAGAAGTTTAGAAATTGGGCTGAGTTCACTGAAACCAGCATTTCAAAACCTAGTTCTTCCAATGCAAGAACTAGAAAGCATAAATAATATCAGGAGCCAAGTTCAAACCAAAGAAAAGAGTATGTGTGTTCAAAGAAAAAATTAGTATGTCTCTAGAGCACACTGCCAGATGATGCTGTTGATGCAGAACATGTATGTGTGTTCAAACCAGGAGAACAAGTATTTGAAGGAGAGATCCACTGAAAATTTCCAAAACAGACATGAAGCACATCCTGTTTAGAAAACTCAAATCTAAACCCAGTATTCAGGGAAGTATCACTTTTGCTTATTCTGTTCTTAATGTTCTCTACATAACCACCTATGGCCATGTCAGATACAGAATACAGGGCAAAACAGACCCCTGATCTGACCTGTTATAGTCCTCCTTATGAAAAATCCATCCTTATGTAAAGCACATCTATCCTTACATAAATGTATGTGCCATCTATCTGAGCTCCAGACTTGTAAGAACCCCTCTGGTAGCCCTCAGGAGCTGGGAGATCTAGAGGGCAGTGATACCTGGAGAGTAGTAGCTTAACCTCTCTACAGCAGAATTAAGGTTTGACAGGCATTTGAATTGTAGGACAGTGTTCCTGGAACACGCACTCTCCTACACATACTTCTTCAGCATCCACATCAGACATGGAGTCTGTTGTTTTTTACCCAAGGAATTTCTGCAGGTGGACAAGTCATTTCTCTGCCCTCTTGGGCATTGAGGGGCTACAGATTTGGCACACATCTAATAGGTGAATTTCACTGAGTCAGTATACTCATGGAATGTGGGTCCAAAATGGAAGCTGTATCCTGCAGTGGAAACAGAATCCTGCCTGATGAAAAGCGATAGAAATGACACCCCAAGAACTCTGCAAAGACAACCTCCAGAAGTAAAAAGAAGACAGAATCTACGTGTCTTGACTGAGTTAAGGTGAGCCTGGGAAAACCCAAGGACTGGACAAATGGGGGGAAAAGGCAAACAGGGGGTGAGAAAAAACTAAGTAAGATATAACTAAAGTTGGAGTTCTCAGGGGGAAAGCGTTTGCAAATTTCCCTTATATGCATTTCTGAAGATAAACTGTCTCTTCTCATTGCTTGTGGCATACAATCATGAAGTGTAGGCGTCCACCTGGACAACCTATTCAAGGAATCAGATACTTAAAATTATCACTAACATACCAATTGCCAAAAAGCTTAAGAAAGTCAACCCTCAATAAATTTTTCTTTTGTGTTTTTTTTTTCCTCTTTTTTCATAGTCTTAGAATATATGTACAAAAATTAACATGTGCAGTCATTAGTGGCTATTTACACTATACACCTCTAGTAGTACTAAGTATATTTCATGTACAAGAGCATAATGTCTAACCAGAAGCACTAGAATTAAAAAGAAAGGATATACAACTTCGAAAAATAGGTATACAGGGAATGTCTACCTTCACAGTGGTAGACTGTGATAGGTAGATAGGTAGATATACAAAATGGCACTTAATAAATTAGGCCAAATAACAGAAGCAGCTTAGTTACTGCAATAGAGAATGGTGTTCCCCTACACCACATGAAAGAAGATGTAAATAATCCTGCTGATTTCTCTCCTGCTGTAACATTCTCTCAATGCTGCTACACAGTAAGGCTCACTCCTGTTACCTAGTGAAACCCATTTTAACTCAGATCACCACCAATTTATTTTTTTCAGTATTTTATCACTGCAGTAAGAACAGATGATCAGCATTTCCAGTCAAATGACACTTCACAAGGCAACTAAATATCCATGTTAAAGAAATTCAACATTACTTGAGTATAGTTACTTTACTGTGTGGGTTTTTCCCCCCCCCCCCCCACTCATCTCTGGAGCTCTGTAAATGCTGAGCCCCCATATGGTTCTCAGACTTGAACAGAGAGCCTGAGGGGCTACACAGCTCCACATGGTAGCTTGTAATCATACTGAGTTATCAATCAATCCAGCTGGAAATGTCAACAGTGCTTACTGCTTGTTCCATATTATGCTCTTTTGAAGAACAATATTTGTTTGAAAAGCCACATATTACTAAAATGTAAATAAATATAAAAATTCTATGCAAACCACCAGAACACTTACCATCAAACTCTGCTGGTCCAACCCCCACTATAATTATTGACATTGGAAGCTTTGAAGCCTTCAAAAGAAGAAAAAGAGATTTAACACATTACATAACCTCTGCCAATGTGAAATCTGAGGACATTCTGAATAAAAAACATGCAAAATTTATGTTTTAAAGAACAATTTTTATTTCTCCACATAAAAAGTTGAGTGGTGTAAACTGTCTGCTTAAGTGACAGAAAACATCTTGGATGAAGATAGAAAGGCAGAGGATTATTTTAATTTATTTTTTCCTTATAAAGTCTTTGAATCATATAAGATCATAATTAAAACCAACAAACTATGTTAGGATTTAATGTTAATATGACAATTAAGGTGACAAATTTATCTTAGGTACTTACGTAAACTGACAGTAATTGCAAATATGTACCTAATGACAGTTTGACATTTAGTTACTGTTTCTTGATATTACATAGCTGCTGGGAACTATGTCACACTTTTTTTTACACAGATTTTATGCCAATTTTTCTCAAGAGACTAAACTACCTATTTGAGCAATATGTATCTTCTATTTCTTCCACGGATGAAATTTTCTTCAAGTCAGTTATCCATGCCACAAAGTAATCATGACATCAAACTGGCTTCTAGTCAGATTTTTCATTTTACTTAAACTTTTTCATTCAGTGAAACAAGGCAAAGACAATGCCTGGCCTTCCCTGAAAAAAATCTCTGTAAAACCTTTAAAATTAAGATGACAGTATCATAAATATTGGATTCTCCTGCTCTGACAGTAGCACCAGATATCTGCTAGTTTACAGAGTTAATGTGAAACTGCGTCTGTTGATGAGGGTAACAACTGAAAACCCATCTACCAACTGTTCCTTACTGAGATATTCTGATGAACTGTGAAATGTCTACAGTCATTTTAAACAGGAGCACACACTGGCCAAAAATCATAGATGTACACTTTCTCTTGAATTAAAGTCTGCTCTGCTGAAGTTTGAAGACAAATGTTTTTAGAACATACTATTATATTTCTCTTTTGGAATATAAAACATGTTTTTGTTCCTCATCTAAAATACATTCTCATTTTAGATGTATCATCACCATTTCCCATTCTTCATCTGTCATAATACCATGTACAAAACCAACTTGCCTTAAGCAGAAGTTTTACAGTTGATTACTGTAAACATGTGGTTTAAAACAATGAGAATACACCATTCTGTAAATCACTGTTGAATGTTCTGCACCACACCAGACACGATACACTACATACTATACATAGACTGCAAATTCATCACAAAGTGATACTACATAGTCAATCTGCTAGCTAAAATTCTGTAGCAGAGTAAAGAACTTAATAATCCCTGGTTAGTTAAATACTAATGCGCTAGTGAAGATCATAGTAAAAGGTGTCTGGCCATGGTTCTGGGCAAACAGCTCTATGTGGTCCTGCTCGAGCAGGGGGTTTGACAAGTTGATGGTCCCTTCCACCATCAACCAGCCAACGATTCTGTGATGAAGGGCCATAAATACACGCAATTGAATTACAGTGCACGGCATAAGTCAATAATAGTGAGTATAGAAAATCTTCCAGACATGAAGGCATTTCTTAGAACCTTCTGTTTTTCAGACATTTGCTAGAATCTTATTCCTTGATTGTAAAGAAAACATCTTTTAAAGAGATTCCTACTCACACAGACACAGTGTTATGTGATACAATGTATATGAAACGGCACGTGGCAAGGACAGCATAAAGTCAGAGTTAAACTTCTGCATATAAACTTAAGTGTTGGCATTTCCTGAATGACAGTATAACCTTTAAACAGTTCGGTGAAACAGAATGTGTCTGACATACATGCTGTAATGAGAAAGATGCCTAAAAGCACAATTAGTGTTAAAAAAAATGAAATATACCCTTCCTGAGTTTTATACATATCAAGTTGCATTGTACATCATTGCCCTTTTTATTATTTTGCATCTTATTAAGACTGAAAAAAATACCACTTGAAAAAAACTGTATTTAATTACTTATGTCATGGTATATTGCGCTCACACTTCAAAAGCTATACAGAAAAAGGAATGCATTTTTATAAACAGAAAAGAGAGCAAATGTTCCCAAACTTCCATTCATTCCAAGCTATATACACATCTACTGTATTTCCAGACAGTTGCAGACTAACAGCTATTATTCCTGGAAATTAACTGCTACTAGAAACAAAGTTTTTCTGTATGTCTTAGTGGCAAATTACTTCATCTTACAAAATATCAACCAACTGGACTTGCTGGTCTCTTAAAGACTTCAAATTGAAGTGTGAGTTAAATGAGGAGCTGCTCATTTTTTTCTCCATGTAGCCTTTTTGTCACCTAAAAGAAGCTCACCTAAGAGAAGCTATGTTCCAAATCTCTAGGTGGGACTAGAGGACGAACTTCCAAGCTAAACATCTTTAAAAGTGAGAGTCAGTTTATCATAGTTTAATATTAGAAGCTGGAAGAGGAGAGGAAGTAAACTGGTACCTTCAAACACAGCTATAGCTTTGGGTGTGAAAACTTACCAGGTGGGCTGCCCTTATTAACACGCAGACTCTGCCTACATGCTGCTGGCTAGAACTCGACGGCATCTTGCTCTCCAGTGAAAGATAGAACATTTCCGTAATATTTTCATGTGCACACTACAAACTGGAATGGTATTGAATCTCTACAGGAGGTAGTGAAAGTCGGCCTTCAAAAAGATGCCACCTAATTCTACACTACTCATTTTGAAATGGTATTTATTCCAAGGTAGGCTTTTCACCCACCACTTCACTATTAACTAGATCCACTGTGGTATGATCAGACCGATTGATACAGATCTTTTCAAACCCTGTCTGGAAGTTGTTTCTGTGTGCGCTTTCAACTGACATTTCCCAGGGGCAAAAGCAAACTGGAACCTGTTCACAATACAGAATATAACTTATATGCATAGCAGTTTTGAAGAGAAAAGGATTGCAACTAATGGAGAAACTGAGAAACAAGAATTTTCAAAATTCTAGGGGACTCTTTGGAAGGAAAGCAGATGACTGGTATGCTTGCCATTTGGGATCAGAACTTTTGGGGAAGTTTCTAAGAAGGGGGTGGATGAAAGCTGTCTGCAATTACTGGAAAGATAAGGAACGGTTCACTGTGAAAAACTGCATGGTGGGTTGTGCGTGAGGACGGAGAAGGCAAGAAGCAGATGTGGAAAGTCATATGAACATATAGTGTTAGAGAGAAGAGTGTCACTTCCCACAGAACAGTAATTAAGCTGAGATTCAACTGCTTTCTTTGTCTTTATGCATAATAAATGTTTGCTGTTGGAAAAAATGGTTAATTTATGGAACAAATTTAGTGCCTGAAATATTAACTGACTTACTTTATTGCCTAAAATATGAATTCCTAGAAACATATTTCTAAATTTCAACAGTTTCAGCAAAACTTACATTCACTATGGATTCCTTTGTCTGAGCCATATCGGAAATAACTCCGTCCGTAACAATGAGAAGAACAAAATACTGGGAGCCATCTTTTACTGAAGCAGCATATCTAAGGGAAGAAAAAACAACATTATAATAGTTAAAACCCCTTTTATAGAAAGGAACTAATATGAAAAGAAGCTGTATTTTTAAAATTTGACTACTGAGGACGAATAAAAACACAGAAACATGATGCAATGGATTTCAAAAGTAAAAGACATTCATAATTAAGATGGACATTCTACTTTAAGAATATTAGAAAAACTGAACTAATACAATATTGATCTGTGTTGAATCAGGGTAAAATGGGAACTGTATCAAGAGGAGCATGGACAGAACGTCCTTTATAGAATCATGAGTCATTAGAAAGTCTAAGTTATTTAATAGTTATTACCTCTGGGGAACACAGTTTGGTATGAAGGGCATACCTTAATATTAAATAGTTGTTTTCAGAGCACAAATAATTTTTTTTTTTTTTTGTCTTAGAAAAGCTACTTACTGTTGACAGCGCTTGCAGATTTTAGTTCACAAGTAGGTGTCCATTTGGAAAATGGCTGAACATGCACCCTGCAACCCTGGCTTAGATATTAATCTCTTTGCACTACCCATAGATGTCCTTTCAAGACTCAAGCTTCAACCTGTGCTGTACCCAAATTCAAGACAAAACGCATCCAGCGCTATTCCAGTCCCACCTCAGCCAACGACCCAAGAAGCAACTGCTCTTTGAAATGCAGCAGCTTTTGAAGATTTGGAAAGTCGTGAAAGAGAGTGAGTCCATAGCAGCCCCACTGAACTCTATGGCCTGCATACCAGAAACCAAGTCTTCATTTATCTTCATCTCCCAAGGGTCAAATTTCCTGTACAGTTAGTGAGGAACTTCTTTTCCATGGAGCAGGCTGCTCCACTTGACAGCAGCAGCCACGATAGTTCCTACTTTCACAAAGGCTCTTGGTGCTGTGAAGGAGTCTAATAGTAGAAGCCTGTAATAACGGTCTTAGCGGTCATTGAACGTGAAAGGCCTGGGTCACTGAACAGGATGTGTTCTAATGGTGCTCATCATGACTGCATTTGCTTATAAAATTCTAACTCCGATGTCACACAGTGCATTTGCATGCACGTACTGCCAATAAATAAGATGCTGTAACCACAGCGTTTGGAGGAATGTGTGTGAAATGGAATCTACAACTCACAGAAAACCATCGTATACCCCCTTCTCCCTCCCCAAGATAAAGATGGGTAGAAAAACCGCACAGGCAATGAACTTGTTGAATATCATCTATTTGCATAGTGACAGTAAGGACTGAGAGTTAAATATCTAGATTAGCAAGACCTACTGTGAAATACATTTTCATTACCATGGAGAGATTTCTTTTATCTCATTTTTTCCACAACGCTTATAATCTTTTCAATGATGCCTGCAGTGACAAGGCATGATGAGAGACTAAAATAAAAATTCATTATTCTTTCTGACCACTTAATACTGTCTACATACCTACACTCAAGAAATGGAACAGAAACTTGGTTATTTCAAGTTTTCCACTGAACAAAACATTCTGAAGTCTTTTGCAAGAAAGATCTTATATGAGGAGGGGAGATGACAGAAGACACCAGGTTGAATCTGGCGTAGTTTACTAACTCCCCAGCTGGGGGAAGGATAATAAACTCATTATCTGCTTAAATAGCTTCTGAAGAGTTCCGAGATCACAACAGGATAGTAGTATCTGACAGTCTCCAGAGATTTCATCAGAGGCATATTTTTAAATAGGAGGGATGTGGGAAAAAGAAATTTCTTTGAGATTGAAGGTAGGCTGAAAGAGTAACTGAAGACTAGATAATAACTTCTAGTACCATGTCTATAAGAGTCAATAGAACAGCCAAGAAACAGAACATTGAAGGAAAACAATGTTATGGAGAACCTGACAGGTACATGGATTGTATTAAGGATGACCATGCAATACAAATCCTCATGAAGATACTTCGCTTTTCCACTATAACGTCATGTGATTTGTTACCAGAAGCAGTTTCCAAAGTTTGCAACAACTTGATATTTATACAAAAGTTGAGTGAGAGAACTATAAATGCTGGTGACAGGCTTCTGTAATTCTGCAGAAGTTGACAAATATTCCTGAGGAACAACCAGTTTTTTTTGTATTGCCTACAAGGAAGCTGGGGGGGGGGACACTTTTTACAAGGGCCTGTGGTGACAGGACAAGGCGTAACAAGTTTAAATTGAAAGTGGGGAGGTTTAGATTAGATATCAGGAAGAAGTTCTTCCCGGAGAGGGTGGTGAGGCACTGGAACAGGTTGCCCAGAGAAGCTGTGGATGCCCCATCCCTGGAAGTGTTCAAGGCCAGGCTGGATGAGGCTTTGAGCAACCTGGTCTAGTGGAAGGTGTCCCTGCCCATGGCAGGGGGGTTGGAACTAGATGATCCTTAAGGTCCCTTCCAACCCAAACCATTCTGTGATTCCAGGATATATGGAATTCAGCTGTCATAAGTATTGGCATATTTCCTCACAGTCTGAAAACTACTATTGCAGAGACCCTGACAAAAGGTGTTTCTCCAAGGAGACAGCTAGCTGCTACAGACAAGCAATGGAATATACATGTACATAATTTGAATGGTATGATTCAAAGGTGGAACAAGTAATCCTAATGATAAGTAACTGAAATCAGCTACCAAGCCATGCTGGGGTGCACTGGAAATTCTTTGCACCACAGAATTTGTAAATTACTTTTCGTTGGGCTGTAGAACTAACAACAGCAAGAACAGATAGTAAATAAATATTTCTTGCTACAACAATTACCTATTTTGCAAGCTCATAAATAAAATATTAACAGCACAATGATTTACACATCCCTACTGCTTTATTTTATAAACATGAGTTCTCTCTCTGTATCCATAAATAAAATAAAATCTGTTCAGGTGGTTACTCAGCTAAATTATCTGAACCACATCACTTCTCCTGTACCAGCACGTGGAGGTGTACTGTAAGGCATGATCTTGTCTGCCAAAATAAGGCAACATTCTCCTTACAGAAACTCTACAAACACAAGAAGCGTTTTACTTTGAGAAGTCAGATGAGGAGCTGCCTAACACAGAACCGTGGCTTCCCAGTGGTGGCTGCTATGTTGTTGCCTTAACGGTGCCACTGCCAGCTGGGAATTGTTGCCACAGAGAGTCCTAGAAAATTTTGTTGATGTCTTCGACATTTTGATATTAGAGGAAGCACATATGCCTGAAAAAAATGCATTTTATAAATTTTTAATAGATTTAGATATTTTCTGTGAAGCAAAATTCTGTGCTCCGAAGGACAAAAAAAGGAACATGGCAAAGTGTTCTCAGAAAAATCTTCTTTGATTATGATTTCTCCTAAGATTTTAACACAGGGTGGATCAACTGGATCACTTGTATTTATTTTTAATCAGCAATAAAATTCTGCATAATGCTAGCACATGGTGTTCAAATCTACTCAAAGGTACAAGTTAATTACATTAGACTGAATAAACAAAACTACTCTAAATAACTTTTTCAGTGTTTATCATCACGTAACTGTTAGACTTTTATATGTGATAGTTGTACTGACAGTAAGAAGTTTCTGTGAAGTACCTGTTGTGATGCTTACCTGGCTACATGATTAATTACAGGGGCAAAGTTGGTTGGTCCATAAAGCTGTACAGATTTTAGACTCCTGTAATATGCTTCCATTACACCATCAATTCCGTGGCAGTATGGATTTTGAGGGTTTCCATTCTAATGAAAATAAGAGATGATTAATCACTAAAAGTAATTTTGAAGCACAAATGCTGCAGGTTAGTGAACACTGCTAGCAAGTGTACATTTTTAAATGGCAAAGACCTAAGCATTCTACATCTATTCACACACTTTACTACAAATGCCCAATGTAAGTGCCACAGCTGGTGGTGAGTGCTAACTGATTAGGCAAGGACGTTCAGGCAGCCTCATGTTATATGCAGTCTGAACACCACTGCCGCTGGTTCCTAGTGAATTACAGGGCAGATGTAAAACTGGAATCATGTTTAGGAGCACAGAACTGGCTCAAAGGTTTCTTATTTTTAAAATGCGAAAAAAAGAAACAGTAGCCAGATCCTGGTGTTCATACACTATTTGAGTATAAGGTAGACTATAAACTCTTCATTCTTTTGGTATGTTTCTGCACTGGAAAACTGATTTTTGATCTGGTATAAACAGATGAAGAAAGGAACTTACTCTTTGGCAACCCACTGAAATGGGTGGGACTGTAAATTCTTTGGGTATGCATTTCAACACAGATATCCATAATGACTCTATAATAAAGATACCTATTTACAGATGACAATACAAACATAAGCTATATCCCAGATTAATGACACATGTCAGGCCAGAGAAATGATTAATATAAGGCCTCAAAACCTTCCAAATCACATTACTCTCCTTCATGTGTCATTGGCATAATGTGCCAGTATCTCATTCTGATGTGGAGTATACCTTCCTGAGAATCTAGAAAAGAAAAGGAGATTTTTCATGATGTAGAATACCAAAAGAGAGTGCTGAAAGCACTGTGTAGCATTACATGGGAGTCACCTAAATAGGTTTACATACAGAGGAAGGAAAAAAGACTGTTCATCCCTCTGTAAAAGCACCGTATTACCTCATGGATTAATGGAATTCCTTTTAGAAACAACATTTAAAACTGAAAGTAGCCAGGAATAACCCTGCTGTTTTATTAGCCTTAAGATTGTATGTGTTAAATATATTTGAACTTGCTACACGGAAGCCCAAAGAAAGTCTGAGAGTCAAATGAATATCTGCAACTGCACTTGTTTTTAATTACTATCCATGTGAAAAAACTTTCCTTGAGATAAGACATGTGGCATTGCTTTCTAGCACAGGCTGAGAGAGAAATACACATCTACAATCACCAGTTTTCTTCCATGTCTTTGCTGCTATCTAATTAAAACTCAGATGATATACCTACACTTGCTGTAATTCTGACAAATTTATCCTTCTCAGAGAAGAACAAAAGCCTCAGAATAAGAAAATAGATACAACATCTACACTAATCACAAGCATCAGTTATAACACATCAACCTTTCTGTCAAATCCGGTTAGATTTTAGGTTTGTAATTTAACTGGCACATGGACCAGTCTCAGGTTTGTTCTTGTCAGCTCATCTTATGGTCCACTTAGTTATCTCTATGACTCTAAACTAGCAGCCTGTAGAAGACAGAGGTCCCAGAAAATGAGAGAGAACAACAATGATAATGAAAGATTATCTCAGATCATGATTCACTTGCTTCTTAAAATAGATTAGTTTCAATCTGAAGTCTTTCAAGCATCTGCTTCTCATGCTGCTACAGCTGAGGTTAAAGATGATTACTTTTCTTTATTACTGTTTTTGGCCTAAGGGACTTCTTCACTCTGGATTTCTGTCAGTAACTTCACTATGATGAAAAACTTTGAAAGTCTTTTAGACAGAAGAATTAGCACATTTGCTGTTCTTTCCTTGCCCAGTAACTGCTTGAGACTGCAACAAAAATTTTACTGAAGAAATTCAAACAATATATAAATAATTATTTACTTACCAGTGCAAATTCATGTGATACTCTTCCATCTGGAGGCAGTCTAGCTCCAAAACCTAGAGCTGGGAACATTTTATCACTGTCATAGTCCTGAATAATTTCACCTACTGCTTTCAGTGCCATGCCATAAGCATTCAGCTGATAGGGATTCATGTAGTGCAGTGATGTAGGCTGTGAAGGGTTACCTGTTGAAGCGAGGATCAGATTTACTTTAAAACTGAATCACCTCAAAATTTTCTCTTAAAAATGATAGAAATCTATGAAAACAGAAATTGAAAAGAAAAGATCATGAAAAGAAAATGAACTTCTTTTCTATATACATAACTATGGTTATATCGGGTAAAAATGCTCTGAAGACATTTTAGTAGGTTAACAGTAGTTGCAAAACTTCAGAATTGAATGGGCAGCAAGAAACTATAATTAGACTTGTAAATTTGTGTCATTTTATAATATGATATACACTTTTAAGAGGAAATTTACAAAAGTATTATGACATTCTGAAAGCAGCTTTGGAGGAGGATCAAAACTCATCACTGCTTCACCCCACTTCAGGCTTTCTCCACCTGTAATTCCTTTCTTTTGCCTCTCTCAATGCAGTCTTCTAAGTTAGAGAGTTTTCTCCCAGCAATAAAAAAAAACCCCAAACAAATTAGAAGGTACATAAATGTCTGCAAACTGCTCCTACTCATTCAATTTTACATGTAGCTTTTTCAATTCTTATCTGTTCTGTTTGCTGTGCTTTTGTGGCCAGGAATTGGCCTCTAGTCTGTTGCTCAGCAAAATGGAATCCTGATTCCAGGTGTTGCCAGGCATACAGATCATCAGTAAAACAATGAAGTTAAACAGAATACTGATACAGATACACACACACACACACTTAAAACTGAACACAGCACATACATAGACAAGAAGGTTATTTTTACTCTCACCATTTGAGGCTGTGAAATCAATAGCTACTGTGAAATTGATTTGGGTTCTGTAGAAAAAGCAAATACAAATCTTATTAATAGTTTTACTGTTGTGTGGAAAAATAAAGAAGAGATGATAACGTTGTTTGTGGACAAACTCTAGGACCATAACTTTCTAATACAAAATAAACACTGAAAATACTCTTTTATAAGGTTCCAGCCAAGAGCTACAGAACACTATTTTATTAACACAATGAAAACAGTTACTCTACTCCATCCTACCTTTTCTCATTGCTTATGAAAAATCTGGATTGTTAATAAGGTTATGAAAATCTACAAACATTATTAATTTCCACAAGTAATATTGAGTTTTCCTTGGAGATATTTTAGCTTTCATGGAGGACCTTGACAAGAGAAGCACGGTTTTACTAATTTGCTCCTTTTCTTAATACTGACACTGGGTCTTCATTCAGAACACATGTGAAATCAGACTATGCAATCTTTGCACAGGACAGCATAGTTTTTGGCAGTGGATTTCATTCATGTGATCATAATCAATACTTTCAGGGAGCATATCAAGGTAATTCTTGGAAGACAAAAGTAAAACCTGGAAGCAGGGAATATAAAGATCTGTATTTGGAGCAGTAGCTAAATAAAGCCATTATTGTGCATGGTTCAATTGTTAGCAGAGAGCCATTGTCAGAAAAATTAATCATTAATTTTACAGAGTGACAATCTAATTAAACGCGGTTCTGTTCCACAACTTCCTTCAGGACAAAATACTGTTGTACTGGAGATATCATCTTAGCTAGGAAGCCTCTATCAGGAAAATGAGCTTGATTGAGTTTGAAAATTGACTTTTTACTCAGATTAAGCCTTTTATATCTTTCTTCAAATTTCTGACTCTTAGTATGTACAACTATGAATTTAATGACCAAATGAGCAAAGATTTAAGTTCTTTGAAAATTAGTGAACAGATTTAACTCATGCACAAGAATTTGACACCTGGCCTTGCAGTACTGGTTTTACTGCTCAAATAACGTGACGTGACCAAAGAAAATACTATTTATTTCATAAAAAGCCTGGTATGACCAAAAAAAAAAAAAATCACATGAACTTATTTTATCATACTGATCAAGGCTAACACAAACTAAGCTGGGTTATGGATGGACTCTGTATCCAAAAAGTTATAAAAGCCTACCCAAGTCCACAGTATCAAAAAGAGTCATGCAGTTGGTCAGCCTGGAATATGTCTACAACCACTGGGCTGCTATATGGACTTGAACAAAAAACACCAGTGAAAGCTGCTGCAATCTCTGAAATGTTCAGGGACCTAAGCTTTATAAGGACTGTTTTCTGCCATAACATTTCTCAAAGTCCACTGTCCTGTTTTTATTTCTACTACATGTTTTATTTCTTTTTAGACACCAATTCTTTGGCTGTATCAAGTACCTGTTATTAGGTTACTTTTATTATTAGCATATTAACCCTCATCAACCATAACTGCTTTTTTGTAAAAAAATAAGATAATTGATATCATATTTTGTGTAAGGGACATCAGCTGAGAAATCATTAATTCAGTATAAGGAATCTCAAAATTTAAAAAGCAGTCTTTGTGAGAAATTTAGGTGCCTGATTAAATGATGCAAGTTTTAAAACACATCAAGACAACAAAAAATATTGTTTCTGATAAGAAAATTCTTTGGCTAAGGCTGCATCCCTGCTTTTCCTGCTCCAAGGAGCTACATTAAAAGCTCATGACACCTGCTACATCAGTGACGTTGAAGAGGTCATGAGGCTTTGCACAAAGGCTCCTAAAACATTGACACCTGGCTAGTCAGGATGACCTGCTGAATGTCCTGTTCCAAGGGAGAACTCAGGTAGAATATCCAAGCACAGCAATGTGCCTTATGGATTCAGAGCTGGATAGACCAGTACTACTCTGCCAGAATTTAGTTGGTGTAGAAAGATATGATCTATTTGACACCTAGACAGGTGATTTTACCCTACACTACCATTAGAAATGAAGAAAGTATCTTAAAAGGAACGTAATCTTCACCTTACAAGCACAGAGCAACCTTTTGGTTTGATTCTTTGGGAGAGCATGGTGAAACCTATTCTCTTTTAATAAGAGCTCTAATAGCACCGATATACATCAGGGAACAAACTAAGCCTCATGTTGCTTTTGACTAGGCTTGAGAGCATTTGTAATGATGAGGGTTTTTTTGAAGAGTACATTGGAAGGGAACATGAATTTCCTCCTGTGGCTTCAGAGTGACAACCAGCTGGTCTGTTAGCAGGGGGGGAGCTGCTGAAGGTTTGGGGACCACTTACTGAGCAGAGCTAATGGAGTAACTAACACTACCAAGAAGCTGTATCCCCTCTGTGGCATTTAAGTCCCCAGTGACAGTTATTTTATACTTTCCCCTTTGCAGATGCTTGTTTGGCCAAATGCAGTGTAAACAAAGATATTTTTCTGATAAAAGCTATACAAGATCTTCCTCTTTTATAGTCTTATTCTATTATTCTTCAAGTATACAAAAAATATATGGTAAAGGCTCCAAAGATGTAACTGTGGCAGCCCTTCAGAACTGTACTTCACACCAGGTCTTCTCTGAACATCAAGTATGCATACCATTACGTTATACACTGTACTGGTTGGATGAAAATAGGAGTCAGGAAAGGAGCTCTACATTTCCATGTTGACCATCAATGATTCAATACAGTTCAGTTAAAAATGTATGCTCAAAGCCCTTAGAATCCAAACTATACGTGGGTGCTCATTTCCAAAAACCTGGATGAAGGTAAGGCTTTGAACATTATGGGAGGAAAACATTTCCTCTTATATTCCACTAATCTGGGAGAGAAGAGATGATTTAGTATTTTTGAGTTGCAAAAGGATTCAGGTCCTGAATTTTATTGATGTACAAATCTCAGAGTAGCTTGTTAGCTGACTCCCTAGTTTAATGAGGCTAGAAACTTCTGCACAGAAATATCCTCACTGTGCACTAAGTCTTGAAGGTTTTTGCTCCTGGCCTTTCTTCTACACAAAAGCAGAGACAGACTATAATCGAACTGTTTGACAGTCATTCCTGTAAACCAGGATAATTTCAATTGCATTCCTCTTCAAGGCTGTATCCCTTATACTCGTGAGCTTATTCATATATCTGGAGGTGTTTTGACAGGAATATGTAACTAATTGGTAAGTGGCAGGAGAAATCAGAGTATGAAATATATATTATTTTTTAGCACAATGTACTTACTTTAAACATGGGAAGGTCAGTGTGGCAAAATATGGGCTTAAGTATCCAGATGTAAGGAAAAGCCAGCTACTGAAATGGCACCTCTTGATGTAATATTCAGATACAAAAGAGACATCCATCTCTTTCCTGCCATACTGCTACAAAATCCAGTGTGATGTAGTAAAACAAAATTAAAATTTACGGGCAAACTTCTCTTTCATTCTTCAAAGCTCTTTAACAAAACAACAGTCATATTGATGACACTTAGAATGGAATATCCCAATTAAACAGATGCAGACTCAAAACATCAATGAAATCAATACTGTAATTCCAATTTGTCACAGTTAAAGCTGTCAAGATTTCCATTAAATCAGTATTAGTTCTAGACACTTCAAATCAATTACAATGAAAGTTTTGAACATGAAATATTTCATAAGCATCCATTTATGGAAGAGACAGTGTTCTGCCTATTGCAGAACCAGTGTTTTCTTCCCTAACTAAACAGAAGGAAAAAAGGGAACCAAAAAAAAAATATTTAGAGGATATTCTTGATGGGAAAACAGACTGATCAATGATGAAATCTTCTCCCTGCCCTCCTTTCAAAATCTGTCAACTGGACTGCAACTGATATGTAGTAATATTAAATGAGATGAACGAAGGAAGAGAGAAGCCAAGAAAATGACTCTGAGTCTCAACCTCCTGGTCATGTATCCAAATAACAAAACTGTGTAAGTAGCAGAAGGAAAGGTTACATTTTATACAAGCACTTCTGAAGTTTTCACAGGCATGTACTTAAAAATAACTGTATGAATCACTAAAAGAGATGCTGTATAAAATAATTCAATGATAAGTATTACTGCTCATACTTTTAAGCACAGATACTTCTACCAAATTATAGTCTTTTTATATAAAAGAGAGGAAAAAAAACTTAAGCAGTTTTAAGCATTAATATCACAAGAAATCTTTGGTTTGCAGTAATAGAGATATAAACAAAATATCAATAAAAATAACAAAGTATTGTTTGTATTCAAAATTTCTATTATTTGCCTGCAGAATGTAGATAATTACGTTTATTAACTTGTATTGCAACATCTCAGTCAGAAATGTGATAAACCATCCCAAAAAGATTACATATGCACCAACTATATTAATTCCAAATTTAGATATAAAACTTAATTCCCCATATACTTATACACACTATTCTTGTCGTGATTAATTTTGAATGGATGGGGAATATAATGGGTTGTGGCATGTATGTACAAATCACTCCAGCTACACTAGAAGTAAAACTGTTTCTTCAAGCATCTGTGTATACATATGCTTCACTCAATGCAAACTTTTGGTAAACATGAATGGTTGGCCATTTTCTGTTTCTACAGAAGTCCGTAACAGGAATGTTCCTGAGAAAGGTAACAGCAGTCCTAATAAAAGTAACCTGCTTTTCTCCAATTCTAGGATTCTCTATTAAAAACAGAACACGTGCCCAAATCAGAAGGGCTCCATAACAGATTGACCATAAGTGTTCATACAGAAATCACATCCAGAACCCTGATGCTCTAAGTAATCTGAAACAGATGTCTGCCTGTTACTCACAGTGATTCAAAGCAGGCACAAGACACACCGATCATTGGAGATGGACTCAGAAACATAGAAATAATGGGTTTCCTAATCATGGCAACCTAGATGCCTCTTGAACAGCTTGTCAAGCAAATGTGCTGATACAGTTCTTTACAGCATGTAGAGTTAAAATATTCTTCAGATGTTAAAGATGTTAAACTCTGACAGCATGCCTGACCTACATTAGGAAGTTTTAACTGCTATAACAGACTCTAATGCACTCAACAACTGTATTAAATCCTCTCTGAGGAGAAACTGTAGGATCCAAAGAGTGGAAACACAGACAAGATGTATTCCAGCAGCAGTGCTTTCAGTAAACTGAACTGGAGATCAGGATAGCAATTCTAGAAGAGTTTGGTAGTTTGCAATCCAGAAGCAGCCTGGAACAAAGTATAGGGGTCTGAGTGTTCTAAAAAGCCTTTCAGTGGCCCTAAACAGACTCACCTCGTCTACCCAGCTATGCTCCCAGCTCTCCAGCCGCTATGAGGAGGGATGGCTGCTCCCTGACATAGCCCCTTCCCTTCACTGATGTGTCCCATTACTCACACACCTCAGTGATGGGCCTATACAACTCCCTCTGAAGGTCATCCATAACAAGTCGTGTATACCATACAGCACTGCAATATCAAAGAATCAAATAAAACGTTGCAGAGGCTCTGCATCCTATCCAAATGAGAAAACCTGTCCAGCCACCGAAGAGTGAGCGAATGAGCAATTCAAATATTTTGCCAAAGATATTAAAAGAGAATTTTGAAAACAATACATCTACACCCATGTTAAAAACCCTAATTAAGTATTCCCATTTTTAAGTACTATGCAAAAAATATTTTTGTCAGTTTTAATCTTAAGGAGTCAAAAGGCACAGTGTTTTGGATTTTCTAACTTTAAAATATAACTGTTTGGGAAGACTTAAACTTTAAAGAGGCTGTTAGCCCTTAGGAGAGAAAAAAAAATACACTCTGCAGCAGTTCATGGGTTAGGGTCAACAGTTTGGAGCACATATTAACAATAGTTCACCCCCTGTACAGGTTATCAGTTCAATATGGAATACAACCTCAGGTTGCAGTTTTTCAAAACCTTGAATGCAATGGCAGTAGAGATAGCTTACTGACAGTTTCTCTGTAGCTACCAATCATGACTGGGGTTGTCACCTTAACTTAACGAACGTTTTAGGAATACACCTTAAACACATTCTCATCTGTAGTATTACCACTGTTGGGAACAAAGGCAGAGCCTGCAGTAGCCCCCAGTATTGCTACTGTCAAAACACAACACAGACTTCTTTTTGTTTCAGCTGAAGCCTGGCACAAAAAAGTAACTTGTTTCTTCTCAGGTAATCAATGCTCTAAAATTGATGTGGAATGTATATTGAGACTGTATGGCTCAAAAATCTGTATTAAGTACCTAGGAATGTATAACAAATTATTTCAATTCATCTTAGAGAAGATTTGTGTTCTGATAGGGAAGTTAAGAGCAATGTATTTCAGAGATTGGATCCCATTTCCAGGCATATTTCATGTGGTGCTTCTGTCTCTACTTCCCTTTTGGGACAATGACGATACATGAGAAATTGAACATGTTATAAATTTTACATAATTAATATTGTAAAATGCTTTTGAAGATGAAAGGTTGTAAATAAATGCCAATATTAAATACACCAAAGGTCGGTGTAATCAGAATAAATAAACCAGCATTTTACTAATTTAAAAGTATATAGATAATTCCCTTTCAGTTAAGCCAGTTTTCACCGGCTGATCAGAGGTCATGACTCAATCTCAGTGTTTTAGTACCAACACCGATTCCAACACTGTAAGTGAAGTTCCATAGTTTAACTTACATCAATAACTATCTGCAGGTTTTATATAGAGAAGTACAGCCTCTAAAAATGAGGAAACAATACAGCTCTTCACAGATACTACTTGGAGTCATCATATCCAAAGTACATATACAAATTACTAGTGAATTACAATGAGACTGTGAAAACAAGAAAGATTTGTTGCCAATCACATACCCGCCTTTAATATAGTCAAGGAATGAAACTTCTGTTTCAATTAGGAAGGAAAGCAATGTTACCTGAAAGCAAATAAAAGAGAGTCAGACATGAATTGTCATTTCCCAGTTGAACAAGTAGAGACATAAGCACAATGTTTTTGGAGCTCTATCCTGAAGACATAGCTCTCTGCAGTATTAGGGAAAAAAGAAAATTAAAAAAAAGAAAAAAGAAAAAAAAAAGAAACTATTTCAATAGGCACTTCTTGAAAAGGAAGAAACAAATTTGGAAGTCTACTACAGCTGCTTTTTTTTTTTTATTTTAAGAAAGAGGTGAGGGATGGAAGATTGTATTCCGGGGCAGGTGATCACTGTGCACTGCATTTACAACAAACATTAGAGGCATGATAATGAATCTCTTCTATTAGTTATTTCTCATCTCACATTAAAAGTAGTATTGAGTACTCATGCAAGCCAAGAATGAAAAAAAGAGAGTAAATTATACATATATATGAAATATATTAAAAAAATTAAGTGTAATGTATAAAAAATGTAAATATATGAAATTTCTTCAGTCACAGCTTATTCAGAAATGGTATAGGCCCAAAACACAGACCGTGGTCTAAAGGTGTTACTGGCATTACCAGCACCTGAGTCACAGAAGTATAAACTCCAGTGGAAAAGATCCAGCATCATATACTGCACAACGTTTATGAAGCAAAGAATTCAATCAAAATTACTTTCTTTTCATTTACAAAGTGACACAGAACTCACACGAGTGCATAAGGCACTCAGTGAAAACTGCTTAAGTAACTACTCAAGGAAAATTTACTGATGGCTATAAAAAGAAAAAGAAGGGAATGGAAGTTTGTGACAAAATCTGATTTCCCTCCAACTGCAGCAAAATACAAAAATTGAAAATATTACTATTGGACTCAGAATGAGGTTACAGATAGTAACTGTCTTCTATCCTACTTCTGTTGTCACAGGTTCTCTGTGATTCTAAGTGACTTGCAAAGTTTAAAATCATCAAATTGTCTTCTAGTTGACAACAGATCGTAACAAAGTTCTACCAGGCTATCAGTAGCATAGAAAGCTGAAATTTCTATGCATTTTGCCACTGGACACAGTAATTCTAAGGGTTTATTTGTTATTACAGCTAGTCAGCTTGTTTCTAATTAGTTTAAGCAAATGTTTTCAGTGAATCTAATTTAAAAAGATAAAAAATGGAAACAGACAACACCCCTCCAAAGTGGTCACAGTTTATACTTAAATACAGACGATGACGACCAATGTCCCAAGTTTTATACAATGAAATTTGAATTTCACTACTTTGCTTTGTTAGAAACTACTAATGTATTCAGAAATATTTCTGTTTAGTACATAGTTTGTCTGTCTGAATTTAAGATGACCCCTTACGTAAAAATGAATTGAGATGGCTACTGTATGTACATAGCACTTAAAAGCAGTCAGCGATCTATATCCACTTTACTTATGAAGTTCTACAGAAGCCAACTTCCTATTAGTGAGGATAATAGTCTTGGTGCCTCGTTTGGAAATTTAGAAATCTGGGGGAAAAAGAGTATCTTGGGTGAATGATAGGGAGAAGAAAAACAGAACTGCAGGCAAGTGCATAGGAAAGTGATAATTTGGAGAAGCATAAGGGAAGCCTGAAGGACTAATAGAAATAAGGGCAAATGAGGGCAAAGAGGACTTCATGAAGAAAAGAAATTACAAAAACAAAAGCAGAGAACACTTGTAGAGAAGGAAAGATGAAATAAAATTGCTAATGTCCATTTATTGGAAATTTCCATATAATTTGAGACAAATAATAACAAGACATTGTTGATTTTGTTTCTCCAAACATGAATAAAATATATTAGAGACACATGTGAAGGTGTTAAAATATTTACAACAGAAATCAACAGGAATATGTGACATGTAAATGCATTTTTTGCTCTTCAGTACCCCAGGTCAGACTGCATGAGTGTTTGCATGCAATTTTGAGTCCACTTACTTTTAGTATGGATTTAAAATAACCACTTTTCCTAAGTTTCTGACTCACTGACTAATAGAACTTAATTTTAACACATAAATTCTAGTAAAAGGAACATGTCAGCAAAAAATAAATTATCTAATGAATCAGTTATTGTATGGTAAATTTTCATGGACAGGCTGCTTCTGTCTCTTTATACAATTTAAAACAGAGGTACAAAATAAGGGTTAATTTCCCTACTGATGAACAGACTTATATGAGAATGTGAGAATGACAAATAATTCCTTCAAGGCTACAGTTCAGAGTTAAAGTAGTTCTGCTGACTTCAGTGGAACTGTTCATGTGCAAAAAAAAAGAAAAAAACCACATGCTGGAAGAGTTTTGAAAAAAACGTATCTTACATCTGATTAGGATTTCCAATATATCTGAAGATAAATGCTGTATAACAATAAATAGTTTATTGTTGTGGCTTTCAGATAAGTTTCTATTCTAATGCTGTTAAATTACAAGTCAACTGCACTGTGTTTCAAGAATAAAGCATCCAATAACATAAAATATATTTACTTACTGTTCCAGAATTAACATACTTTTTCTTTTTTCCTTTTTTCTTTGGATTTATTACCTAGAAACAGAGATACAAATATTAAAGCAGTATGATTTACGATTTAGCGTAAAGATAAGTGTTAAGATACTTTCAATGCAGAAAGTAGTCTGTTTTCAATGGATTTTAAATTTATTCAGCATACTGTTTATTTATGCATCTCAGTGCTGGAATACATGCATATTTCAAAACTGGTGAATTTATCTTCATGGTACCTGCTTGGTAAGCCAGTGCTGTTATTCACATTTGAAAAACAGGGGACTGGAGCAACAGAGGTGAGTGTTCACTAAACCTGAGTGCTCACTGAAACACTGAATTTTCACAAGATTCTGCATTTTTCTGCATTCCTGATTCCAGTGTTTCAGTGTATTGTGTCACCACTTCTTCACCTCACAATGCACCTCTTCACATTCTAGTTAAACTGTTTCCATCTTCTCCTCAGTACTATCCAAGAAACATCAAAGCTGTTCTAGTCCTGGTTTCTGTATTTGGTGCAATGACAGGAGCTGGCTGACAGTAAGAACAACTGGGGGACACATCATACTGTCCCAGATTAGAAACTAGTCAGTAATTTCACAAAAACAGCACAGACTGGCATTCAGCAGTTATGGGGGCTCAGCGTACTCCCCAAATACAAGAATGTTCATAGAACTGCACTACAAAGCATTAAACAGTTTTCTGGAATGTCTTGAACCCACATCTATAAAATTTCTCACTGTTGCCACCAAAAAAATTTTTTCCCCATCTGAACACCTACCCACTCAAAGGCCAGTCTCGGTCAATTTCGTTACATACACATTAAAATGTACTCTTGCTTTTTTTCAAAATTGCACATGGAATAGGAAGCAAAACATTATTTTGTTAATTAGGTGGATCAACTATCTCCTGTATAACTAGGAATCACAAATCCTTGTGACTTACTGCCAATTTTTACAGTAAACTACTCACAGATGTTCTGTGAATGACAAGGAATGAAAACATTCCCAATTGAAATCTTAGTCACTTAACCACTATAAAATATTTAACAGTTTCGCCTGAAAATGGGAAAAATAGTAATACATGTCTTCCAAAAATTCTCTCTCCCCAGTCAAAATTAAATTACATTTAAAGATCATATTCCTTCTACAACACAGAACAGCTGTGAAATGTAAAGCAGAAAGAGATAATTATCATTTGAAGTCTCCCCAAATGGGCAAAACCAGTCACCATATCTTTCCCTCCAGTATGCCACACAGATATCCAGAAAGTTTTTTTCAAAGCTTTTACTGCCTTACACATACATAAGCCCTTTAACACTCAAAAAAATCCAAACAACCCCTTGTCCCTCCTATTAACAGTGTCTTGGCTGGTGAGGAACAGATTAAATCTGTGTAACGGTGGTTTATACATGATGCAGCAATTCTTGCTGAACCAGAATCTTAGCCAGGAAGTGTCTCCTGCTGGCTGACAACAGCCCAGAAGAGGAAGATGAAGGTAACAGACTGCCTTGCCTGCCCTGTGGCCCTTCATTCACAAGTCTCCAGAATCCAGCAGTCAGTCCTGAGTTAGCAGTCATTAAATGCCAAAAAAAGAGAGATTAATCTGAATTTTCTGCTTCAGGTAACCTGGCAATTGGCTTCTTAGGAATTACTAGGAAATGCACTAGAGGTTGGAGTGGAATATCATGGGAAACAAGCCATCTACTTGTTATCTAAGACAAATTAAATCACAGCTTGTCTCTCTCCTATAATTCCAGGTAATATAGTTATTATAATATTTATGGGCTTTTTCCCCTCAAATTTCAGATAAATTTAAAATCAAAAGAAGACTTCTTATCCTTTGAAAACTTTACACCTCTGCAGTAACCTAAAAAGCTACATGAACACTTACTCATTAAAGAAAAGGTCAATTGAAAAGAGCTTGTTATAGCAATGTTTCTAATCTGCCTATATGGGACAGCCACTCAAACACACATCTCTCTACCTGCCTTGGGTCAGTTTGTAAATGCAAAACAATTAAAAAACAATTTGTCCAGTCTCATTTGTTCTGATATTGTGCAGACTGATCAAGTAGAAGCTGTACCAAAGTATAGATGATTGCAGTGTGGGAAGGCAAACATGGGATGCTTAGGAAATGTATGCTATTGCTAGGAGTAAGATATTGATACTATATTTATGAAACTGCAAAATTACTCAAGATGTTATGACAGAACATTCCTGGTAGGGTAGCAGTCATGTCAGTGATTCAACAGGAGAGGACATTTTCACTGCACACAGTAATCTGTGCTTTGACACTATCCATAGGAAACTGCTGTAAATTGCAGTAACCCTAGGGTTGATCTTGGTTCTAAAAAAGAAAAAAAAAAAAAACAAAACAAAACCCATGGCTTTCAGTTATCTTTGTCCTGCTTTGTACAGCAGCACCTTTGCTCATCTTCAAAATAAAAGTGCAGCACATAATTGGAGCATCCTCCTTTCCTACCCTGCATTAGTGCTTGCTTAAACCATATTTCTGATCACCTGCATTAAGAATATGAAATTTTACAAAATATGGAAGTTTAATGGCAGTAGTCTGCGACCAATTAAAGGATAAGTAAAGGAATAACAACTGTCTGCATACCATACAGAAAAAACAGGCTATAGCCACACAGGCGTGTCTTCTCATTATTACCATGAGGAAAAAAACACACATTCAGGTTCTGAGAGACACCATGCATGCTAACTGCATTATGCTGGAACTCATGGTGAAAACACAGAAGCTGGCCTAAATCCTTCAAAAAGCATATCTAAAACTTGGAAGAAGGTCTTAAGTATTTATTCTGAAGGACAGGAGAGGTCTTAAAATTAAACCGTATACCAAGATAAACTCAACTAATTAGCTTGATTTGTCTTACATCTGAATCACCCTTGGGAGAAGCAGAACTGAAAGAACTTCCAGTCATGGGATTAAGATTGCATCAGTGAAGATCTTGCAGACAGGCTGGTCAGGAGTTTCTGGACACATACGCTAGTCTAAATTTAGGAATAGGCTCTCCTACCAGAATTACCTGAAGTATAATTTGAAGGGAAATTTACTGCTAATTTGAAAGAGGAGATGCTCATACTAACAAGACTATGTTAAAAGAAGATTTGGTGTCAAAAGCTATTCCTGTGTTTTTGGATAGCTCATGACTGTTGTTGATGCTGGGAAGCCCTAGATATTGCTTTCCCCTGGGGAAGGGTGGGGAGGGAGGGATAAGATCAAACTTGTGGCTTCTGGTAACACTGGAGATCAAGGATAGAGTCACTAGAGAAATACCAAGAAAAATAATGCACAAAATGTCCCAGGTAGAAGCTGAGAAGGAGCTCCAGAATACAAGAAAGATGAAATACTTTAGGGATTTCCAAAGCACCAGGGAAGAAAAAAATATGGTAGGTACTTTATTTTTTTCTTCAGTTCCTATACTTGGCCTGCATTATAGAAGACAAGGGTTGAAACTGCTGATGCAGTAAGATGAGCCACTTCATGCTACCAGAACTTCGAGAGAGCGTGAGGACTTCAGTGAATGATGACATTTTCCAAGACAGGGTTGCTTTTAACTAGAATAATCCCACTGGGAATTAGACTTAGGAATGGGCATTTGTACTGTGTTGTGGTGACAGCCATCTCTTGTATGAGGGTCAAGGGTTAACCCAAAAGAGCAAGGCTCCAAGAAACAAGGAAAAATGAAGGCAATGGAGGTTTAAATGCAGGAGTCATAGAATCATACAGTGGTTCATGCTTGGACCTTTTTTTTCCCCCCAGTCAATTTTTTCTGTCCCAAGTGGGATGTTTTTTAAAGGGACCTTTCCTAAAAAGAAAAAAAGTGCCAAAAATTAGTCCCTTTATCACACTTCAAGTTTGTGCATCTCAATTTTTGTTTGCACAAACTCATTGATCTCTTCTGAGAACAAATTATAGCTTATTTTAAAGATTCAGTGAAGTTTGATCTTGGAACTAAAGTTTACTTTTTTGCAAATCCTAATAATCTTAGACTAAATTAAGAAAGAAAGCTTAAACTAGGGACTTATTAGATCTGAAACACATAAGCCTGCATAATTATGGCCACAGGGCCCTGAGGAGAAAAGGGAAGAGAAAGAAGTCTAAGAGGGAATGTGGATGTAGTCTACATTCACCTACAGTACACAATAAGGTCTTACCACACATAGAAGTCATCTAACAATATAAAACTATAACTGAATTGACAACTGCCTGTCAATCCCAGTAGCTGGCAGATGTATGAATCCTAAACTGGAAATGAGATGCAAATTTCTAAGCAAAGATGGTAACTGATCACATGAAAAACCCTACCAATAAGTAAGCTAAAGTCTCTGTCACTTTTAAGCCCTGCATCAAAACTCTAAAGATTCTGAAGCCTGCACTTAAGATCAGACATGTGACTCTGCAATGTAGGAAACGCCAGATAGTCTTTGGACAGGAGAAAATAACATGCAACAGATGTAACAGTTGTCAAAAGGAGAAACAAATGACAAATCGTTTATACACAAATGGGGGTAATCCAGTATTTGCTCCAAGTCATGCCATACCAACCCAGCTGCTTGAAGGGCTGGCTCTTCTTGCCCTATCGTGACCCAGCGTGCATATACATGCATGCATACCTACATGTCTTTAAACCTTTTTATGAAGCAACACTTTCAGATTCTCTGTTCATCTTTATAAAAGGCGAAATGTGAAATAATTCCAAAGTTTGATTTTGACAAACACTGTGAAGATTTGACAAGTTTGCCATGAAAACATTGGAAGTGTTCTCATTAAATTTCCTGGAAGTGAGTAAACATAATACTTACCTCATACACGTTGAACTGAGATTGCCCTCTCGACAACTCTCTGTAACTTGTTGTGAATTCTCCGATGAAATCATGGCTGTATAAAGAAAAAGTTTTCAAATCAAATGCACAGGATTGAGTAATTTAAACATGTGTTACATCCATTTATAAAAAAAGAGAAGCACAGACAATATGAACTGACACCCAAGAAAGAAGCAATGGCAAAACATAATTTGCTTGTATTTGCTTTTTTCTGTTGTGTTATTACTAATTGCGACTCAATTAGTAATAAAGATTTAGACATGAAAAGTGTTATCTTAAATATCTCTGATAGCTTATGCTTAACTTAGCTGCATAATGAGGACTTGGTTATAAATTGGTGATCTGACCCCAGTGTAAGCTTACAGATTCTGAAAAACCAGAGTGAGCTATCAAAGACTATTACCATTTTCCCACTGGGTGACCCCTGGAATCAGAGACTCTCAAATATGTACAAGACTATGTATTAGGGAGGTATTAAGAGTGTGAAAGGAGTAACGTAAACCAGAAAAGACCAGCCCTACTGATTTGTGTAACGTGACACTGAATGCTATTTTTATGGGGAAGACCCAAAGCTTATTTCAGCTTCTATGTCTTCCCATCTGGGAGGAGAAAAGCAATCCACTGAGGCTACTCAGCTGACGGTATCAGATACCACTGGAAAGCAGATCTTGACCTAACATTAAAGCAGGGGTTATCAAGAGTCTTCTTTCTACTCCTGCTCCAAGAATACATTCAATGCTCCTGTGCTGTCACCCAGGTTTTGAAAAATGCTTTGTCAACTCTTAATCAGGCACGCTGCCACTGAGCCACTGTGAGCAGGGTGGGCAGAGGGAACATAGTGGATGAGGCATCGCTGAGAAAGGCAGTTGGGGTCAGGGAGTTGAAACACAGAAACCACAGAGCTGCCAGAAGTCACTGAACTGCAGGTTCGTATCTCAGACAGGTACCTGGACTGGAAGTGACTGCAGGGATGAGTACCTAACAGCTAACTACGCAACTCCCAGCAGTCACAAGACCAGTTCCCATTCTCCACTCTTCCCAGCTGAGCCTTCCCCACTGCTGCTCCAACTCTCATTCCTCCCTGTCCTGTCTCCCTGTTTTCACAGTTGTGCCTGAACAAGGCGTTGTACCTCCTCTACATGCTGCCTCCACATCTGTTGAGCAGCGAAACTAACTTTTTTGCCTTCCCTCCAATGGTAAACTAGAACAGAAAGTCAAACTTTTATGACTCTATTACTGGTGAAATTTGTTTAAGAAATACAGCACGCTTCTAATTAAGCTACAAATATTAAAGGGAAATTTAAATAAAACTGAATGTTGCAAGAAGAGAAAAAATTTAAACAATCCATAGCGACATGAAATGTCTGCCCTGATTTATTCACAATAAAATAAAAAAAACCAAACCCCAAATATAAATCAGCATGAATTCACAACATATATAAAACAACCAATCAAAAGGTCCAATCATCATGATAATGCACATGAAATAACCAAAGAATCCTGTAAGAAAGCTTGAGAAATACTGTGTGGTGAAGATATTCCTGATTACTCAGATTCAGAAGGGACCACCTCTCATAAAATACTCCCAGTTTGGAGATCAGCAAATTTCTTCTGAGACAAAGACTTTTCTTAAGCAACACATTTTGGAGGTATCATCTCCTTTGATGAAATGGTCTCCAGACTGCAATGACTATTTAACCAGGGGAACAGAGAAAACCATCCATAAAGGCTATGGAACTTGAGTTTCATATGGGCCGCAGGACATAAGGTGTATTTAATCTTGGGTAACCATGGCACTAGAGAAACATGAACCTTGGTTGAAGAGGAATCTTCCCCTTTCATAACAGTTCTTACCTTAAATTTTCAAATCAGTTTATATATTTCAAAGACAGAAAATCAAACAATAGCTCAATGACTACCTACAGACATGCTGTAGCAGAGAATACATAAGCTATTCAAGGCAGGGTTGTGTCTGGGGAAAACCAAATCTGTACTGCTCAAAAGTAATTGTTTCCTTAATTCTAAGAGACACTGGAAAGCCTCCTTTCCTGTGTCTCTTATATGCAGACTTGTAAGAACTAATATATAAAGAATAATTCCACTGACTAATCATGTCATAAAGGCCTAGGCATACATAACTAGTCTCAGAGTTCTCTGCACTTTAAAGATCATCAACCTGGATCTTAATGCTCAATATTCAGATGGATGCATGCCCCTCCACTAGGCTGGCTCTGAAAGATGAGTGCCAGTTTAACAACATTTGCCTTTGCCAGAAGTATAACTTGTTAAGAAAAATAAGGCACCGATCCCTGCCAATATTTATGATCACCCTTCACCAAATGGATCTCCTTATTAGTCTCTGGATTGAGAATCCAAAGAAGTTATTCTCTTTGCCTTCCTTAGACCAAATATTCCTAGACTTTTTGTCCATATCAGAACCCTGAATCATAGACTCTTGGCACATAAAATAATCACATGAACCACATCTCCACAAATCTGCCACTTTCGGTACTATGCTTTCAAATGCTGAAAAATCAGTCAGAACTTTATTAACTTTGATTTTTTTAAAATAATCTAATGAAAAACAAAACAAAACCACAAAACAAAATAAACAAATAAACAAACAAAACCCCCACAAAAAACAACCAAAAAAAAACCCCAACCAACAGAGGAATCTGCTCCTACCCAGACTGCACATCGCTGGAGCAAACAGATTCAGCCTAGTGAGGTGAACAGCTGGTGTAACAACTTCTTATAAACAAAGAGTCCATAAATACCAGAAATTAATATAAATTGAGTAACAACATTGTACAAAAAATTGATAGACTAATCCTTGAATGGGATTCACTGCAGATACATTTGACAATGTCAAAGTTAAATTAAGCACTTAGGTTCTTGCAAGATCACTAATAAGTCACAGGCACCACCAAATGTCAATTTATTCCAGTTAGGATGGATTCAATCAGACCATTTTCCCCTGTAAGCTAATGAAGTAGCTTAAATGATTAGTCCAATCTAGCTGTCTGATTTTTACATTGTCTGAAGTTACGTGAGATGAGTGCTGTCTCATCCTTCTGAGGAATTCGACATGTGTCAGTGTTCTGCCTGCTTCTAAATTCAAAAAAGGTAGAAAGCAAAGGAAAAAAATAACAGAAATAGAATAAAAAAAGAATACATATAAACAGTACCCTTCAGTCTTTGATTTTTTTTAGATATTAATTTTATAGGTATTCAGATTGGATGTGAGCAAAAGCCGAAAGTCTTTCAAACTGTTTGGGAAAGGGTAGAGGCTAATGATTGCCTGAATTCCACAGTATGTTGAAGATTTCACTCAGAATTGCAGCTATACAGTATTAGTGGTCAGATTTCCTCCTTTTCAATCATACTTGAGTTTCAGATTTTGGGGGAAATGGGACAGCAGATGGGGCTTGATACCTTAACAGAATATAATCTTTCTTTTTTATTAACTTGGCAATATAATTTAAATTTTTACTGTTAGATTATTTTCAAAAAATATTATCGTTTATACACAAAAGTGTAAATGTTATGACATTTTTAAGGATTTGGCAAATGGAAGCGAGGAACAGAGGATGTTAATAGAAATTCATCATTACAGTGATGAAGTGATTTTTTGCTAATAAGTCTTTGTTAACTTAAATCCTTGTATTTCAAATTGCCAGAATATGTTATTTTGTCACTCCAGGGAATATCTAATCAAGAAGGATGAATCTGAACAAACAGGTATTTATAGAGGGTGAACATGTGATAAGAATGCTTATAAATCAACAGGCTTCATGATGGAACCAAAAAGACAAAAGTATAAACTGAGAAAGCTGAAACTGGCTCTGGACCTTGCCAGCAAGGAAATGAATAGCAGCACAGGATAAATTTACCTATTATGATTAAAAGATCTATTGGGCCACAGAAGTACCATGTCATTAGCTGTAATACTAGAAGCAAATTTCATCAGCAATATCGAAGATATTACTGTATAATAAAATATACTCTCTTAAAACTCCAAAGGTAAGTGCATATCCATATATTTAAAAATACAAATTAATATTAATAGGAATTAATTCAGACAGACCAACCTAAAGAAGAATAGAAATCAACATATTCTTGTATTACATAAAAGTTCTAGTACCATGATTTGAGTACCATTTCTCACCAAAACACTGATACAAGCTCAAGCATTTTTAAAAGAACAAAGAGGTATCAATCCAGTCTGATAAAAAATAATTCTATCTTATTTGTCAAGATAACAGCAATTTGAAAGGCTAATTTCTTTGTTAGAAAGGTACACTCAGCACACATAGCATGACTGATTGAGAACAGATTGCCTCTCTATTTTAGCAACAAAAATTCCACATATATTCTACCATACTCTTTCTAGCAATGGAGTTATTTAAAACCCAGGTCTTCCAACTCTAGAGTTTACAATGACGTTATGATGAACACAGGCTTGGAAATGAACATTCAAACCCAATCTGAAATGATGCTAATTAATAGATAGGATCTATATTGCAATATCTAGGTAACCATGAAGTAGCAATTGCAGGCTCAGGCATTATTATACTTGAAAAGCAACAGTTTACGAAGCAGTGTTTTAAGCAAAAGAGATTATAAAATGGATTATCCCTCTCTTCATACATGTGCATTACCTGACAACATAATGAGATTCCCAAAACTGATTTTACAGATCACAAAGCTTGTTTCTTCCACGTATGAATATACACACATCGTGTTTGAAATGGACTAATACGTCTGCATTTACCACAACAGCAAAACAAAACAGAACTGTAGCACAACAAAATGTTTTCTAGTACCTATACCTCTAAATATTGATAAATACCATTCTTTAGTCCTGTTCTGGCCGCTACACATTTATACATTTTAAACGTGTATAAATAAGCATGGATATCCTTAAAGTTTAACAACAGAATTACATCTTACCTTCCGTCTCTATCCCAGTCATACACTTCCACTTTAATTGTCCTAAAACAAACAAACAAACAAAAAACCCCCCTTATTAAAATATATATTAAAGAGAACCAGAATTGCCTTTAATACTTGTACTTTAATAGCATATGAGTGCACTAATTGTGCCAAATTCAGAAGGCAGAATTTTGCAGTCAGTTCTCATGGGGCAGAAAATAGAAAGGCGCTAAGGTTACCCAATATATCTTCATAAATTAATAGTAAAATACAGAAGCAGCTAAGGAAAAAATTAAACAGATTGGAAGTTTAACTGATACATTTTTACATGCTGATGCTCTGAATTTTCTTTGTTTTTTTTTAATAAATGATTTTTTAATGCTTAAAGTACTACAAAATTTCTTAAGAACATTAACAAACGAACTTATTATGAAGGTTCCTTTGGTATATGCTATTATCTGGAAAAGGAGTATCTACTGTGGGGTAATAACATCTTACAGAAAAAAATCATGTATCCATATTTGAGAAGCGTGCAGAGATTGAGAAGGGCCTTATAACACAAAATTATTAAACAGCGAAGTACAGATTAAAAGCAACGTTCACAATAAAACTACATTTAAAGCAGTAAGGAATTCTAGTCCATACACTTTAGTCCTTAAATGAAAATAACTACTGCAGAATACAACAAAACTTAAATCTGGTAGACAGTATTAACCTCTTCTAAACATAATGCAGTGGTGAGAAATGAAAACTCTCTGAGATCCACCCAAGATTTTGTGAAAGTCCTGTCTGTGGCTGCAGATGGAAGAAAGTTGTAGTTCTTCCAAGACTGCACTTTAGCTCTCTTAAATTTCCTCCTCTTTTCTCAACAGAGGTGGAAGCTGCTTGGCTCTCTGACCAAGGGGAACAGAAGAGTGCAGCATGATTTTTTATTCAATTCCTATAAAGCCAACAGGATAGTTGTTTAGTTCTTTCATCAGACTACACTAGAAAACCACCAGCTTATGAAGCATAAGCATGACGCTGATTTCCTAGAATGAAATGTGACAAACAGATTGTGGGGTATGGGGGGAACACCACAAAGGCAGGGTCTGGGTACCAGTTTTTCCCAAACTGACAGATTTTCCTGAAGACTGTGGGAATACTCATCCTGCTCTTAGTGAATCAGGAGCTGGTGGGCAAGCTGGGTAATAAAATATTAAAGTCTGCCAACACACAAGTACCCAGTGCAAACACTTTTTCAATAGAAGAACTAATTAGAGTTTATTTCTTTTAAATCAGAATTGAAAGCCAAGCTAGTAGATTATTATAAACACAAAATGATAGATCTAAAATATTATTTCACAATATAAAATAACAACTAACTGGCAAATTTTCAGAGAAGTGCCTCATGAAAAATGTTTCAACAGCATACCAAAACAGTTTAACTACAAGTATGATCCAATAAACAAGCTCATGTACCTCCTAATATATAGTATATAGTTTTATTCATCTCCTTTTACTACAAAGAGTGTATATATAAGTAAATTCAATCATCACTAAGAATGAATCCTTTTCAGCCTAAAATGAACTGAACATTGGATAGAAAAATAACACTTCCAGACCTCCTATATTTTAAGTAACGATTTGCTTATTTATATTCTTCAGAAAAGTTTCACATGAAGTGAAGTCATCAGGTCTGTGGTATTAATAGCAGGGACAGGAATCCAAGAAATTATAATGTGCTTCCATGGAAGCTGCTCCCCATTCTTCCTATGAGATACAGTTGAATACATGTTGAATAATTTTCTTTACTAGGAAGGGACTCTTTGAGGATAAGCTTGATCAACATCTGATATTATGTACACCAACAAAGTCCTGCCTAGATGTTTTTCACATTTTTTATGATATTCCAAAATAGGCAAAGGAGTTGCTTTGTCTGGTAGTTTCTCTTTTCAACTCAAATTTAATGGCTCTGACCACACCATTTGTGTGCAATTTGGGGTCAAGTTGCCTGAGAATGAAAACTGATTAAAGTGAAAGCTGTTCTGTGGAATAAAATCAAGAACAGCTCCAAACCTACTTTAACCCACCAAGTATCTGACCCTTGAAAGGAACAATACCTTTTACTATTAAGATAGACAGGACACACTAATAAGTTAAGATTTACATAAAGTTTAGTGGGACTTAAGTTTTGAATTGTCTTACAAATCTGTGTTCAAACAGCCAAATCATCTCAGAGACAAAAAAAAAAACCCAACAAAAAAAGAAAAAACCAAACAAACAAAAAAACCAAACCAAAAAAATCCCAAACCCACTAAATTTGAATTATTAGGATAAATTAAGATTATCAAGATAAATACTTGAGAAGGATCTTCAGACATGCAACATCAGTAAGAGCAATTCTCCCTTGAACAAAGCTCTTCTCTTCTGAAATTTACTGTATATTAAAAGGACCTATTGCCTATTTTGCATGACATGGCAAAAGGCCTTTCAAATTTCCACGTACTGATATTTTATGCTCTTTACATGGCTATTGTATCTTAAAAGACACAGTTTAGAGGATGGGTTCTCTAATTTAAATAAAAA